TGACCGTGCCTTGATGGGGTGGCCTCGGTTGTAGTGCCCTTGGTTGTAGTGCCGGGCCGGTGGGGTTGGGTGAGCGGGGAAGCCGACTCGGTAAAATTGGGTTGCCTGGCTAGGGCCGTAATGCGGGGTAAGGCACAACAAAGGGACCTCGCGTAGGTAAGGAACGGATGCTTCGTGACCGTAAGGTCGCTAACACCATGTGTTATCATAGGCTTTGGCAATGAGTCTGCGCTGACCTCCAGACTATTGACAGGGTGCCAATACGACGTAGAGAGGGGTAGCCTTTGTAACGGGGGTCTATGGACGTAGGGACTATGGTACCAAGGAATACAACCGAGACGAGGACGTGGCAATAGGTGTTCAAGACTATGTGCTATGGAGTGGCTCTGCCTAGTATGACTAACTAGTTGAGCCCTATGGCGAGGTGTAGAACAAAGTAATATCGTGGAGTAAATACAAAGGTTCTGTGAAGAGAAGAGGAAAAGAAGGAAAACATGAAAAGGCACGAGACAACACCCCCTTATATACCCAACTCCTAGTCCGTTGATGACTAATATCTTGCGTAACGGAAACCGAAAGAACATAACAGAAAACCCATTACAAATTATAGTCCAACTGCGCGATTCCTTCTCTTCACAACCCAATCTATCACCTTAGCCGAAATATAATATTGCCGTTACAGACTACGCCCCCCTCTAAGGCCTACCTCCTGGTAGGCTTAGGTTTCCGTGGATAGCGTTCATGGAACCGTCGAACAATATCAGGTGAATGCTCAAGGTCCGATAGCGGTTGCCAAGAGGCATCATGGTATCCAGTATATCGTATCAGGTACTCAAAGCCACCCCTTCGTTTCCTAAAGTCCACAATATCCTCGACTTCCCATTCTTCCTCCCCTTCGATCTCAACTGGAGGTGGTGGTGACTGTTGTTGTCCAAGTAATGGGTTACCCGCTTCAGGTGATAACAATGAAGCATGGAATACTGGATGGATCTTCATGGAGCGGGGAAGTTCTAGCTCATAAGCATAGGGATTGACAATTCGTTTGATGCTGTAAGGACCAATTCGTTTCCAATCAAACTTCTTGGAGGGTCGCTTTGTTAGAATATGGCGGGTCGACAAGAAAACTTTATCTCCTATATGATAACGAGGGGCAGGAGAACGATTTAGGTTAGCCGACTCCTCTTGTATCCTTTGCGCCCGAAACATTTCGCTCTTCAGAAACTCCACCATGTCCTTCATCTCATTTGCAATGCTGTTGGCTTGATCTTCCGCTGTCGTTTTACCGTATTCCAAGGGACCAAAAGTCGTCCTGGGATTTCTTCCCGAGTTGGCATAGAAAGGAGAGACTTTTGTTGTTTCCGAAATATGGTTATTTGTTGGGAACTCAGCCATTGCCAACCGTCGGGCCCAATCATCTTGCTGATAGGAGACATAGCTTCGGAGGTATTGTTTCATTATGGCATTGATCCTTTCAGTTTGTCCATCAGTTTGGGGGTGAAATGCGGTGGAGAATCGTGGAGATATTTCCAGGCGTTTGCAAAGCGACTTCCAAAATTCCGCAACAAATTGTGTTCCTCTATCGGACACAACCATATCAGGTAGTCCATGTAGCTTCCAAACATTATCGAGATATAGCCTTGCTACTTCCTTCGAGTCCACCTCTTTAGTTGTTGGTATTAGATGTCGCATTTTGGTTAATCTATCAACAACAACTAGAATCGCATTGTAACCATCACTCTCCGGAAGGTCGGTAACAAAATCCATTGAGACATCCGTCCATGGTCCGTCGGGTATTGGCATGGGACGAAGTACCCCATAAGGCGCATTACGTGGTGCCTTGCTACGGACACACATATTGCAATTCCTAACATATCGATCGACATCTTTTCGCATTTGTGGCCAATAATATTCCCGACTTAAGAGTTCCAATGTCTTTGCTCTACCCGGATGGCCTGCCGATGGTTTGTCATGATGTTCTTTCAGGAGTCTCAGCCGGAGGTCATTATCCTTTGGTACGTAGAGTGCATCTCGATAAAGTAACCGGCCATTATTGTCTTCAGTACATTCGGCAAGTGAAATTATATTTGACTGACGAACGTCGTTCCGGAGCATAGCGAGGATTTCGTTTGGAAAACTATCGACTTGGTAAGCTTTTGAAAATAACTCCTCCACAGTGGGCATTCCTTCAGCAGATTCATTTGATAAAGAACCCGCGAACAAACTTAGCTTTGTATCCAAATTTTTTCGCTTCAGAACCACTTGGCTCTGGTGCGTCAGCCGTTCATCCCCCTCTTTAGGTAGATCACCTGATCTTCTAATCAAAGCATCTGGTTTCGCTCCTTGTTTTCCTGGTCGGAATTGTATAACAAAATCGAAACGTGAAAGGAATTCAGACCAACGAGCTTGTCGGCGGTTTAGCAATTTTGTTGTAATAAAATACTCTAAATTTCGATGGTCGCTGAAAACTTCAATAGGGAATTGTGCTCCTTCCAAATGATGTCGCCAATCTTCAAAACATCGCACGATTGCTAGAAGTTCCTTGTCATAAATTTCATAGTTGCATTCCGCAGGGGAATGTTTCTTGGAAAAGAAAGCGACCGGATATAAAATCCCTTCATCATCACGTTGCGATAGAATCCCTGCTGAAACATAGTCAGATGCATCGGTTTCTATCACAATCTTCTGATTCGGATCAAAATGAACTAATATAGGCGCTGTTGTAAACATCTTTTTCAGGGTTTGAAATGCTTCCTCCCTTTCATCTGTCCATTCGAATTTAACATTTTTCTTTGTTAGGGCTGTAAGCGGGGCGACAATCTTTGAATATCCCAAAAAAAAACCGTCGATAAAAATTTGCAAATCCCAGAAATACTTGAACATCATGAAGATTTGTAGATGTAGACCATTCTAGAACATCAATAACTTTCTTTGGATCCATTCTGTTGCCATTTGGGGTAAGAATCAGGCCAAGATACTTCGTTTCTTGAACCATAAATTCACATTTTTCAGGTTTGAGATGAACATGATTCTCATCAAGTACTTTTAGAACCTTTCGAATGTGATTTTTGTGATCTGTGAGGGATTCGGAGTAGATGAGAATGTCATCTAAATAGGCCGTCACGAATTGATCGAGATAGGGACGTAGGATATCATTAATCCAATGTTGAAACGTAGCAGAAGCGTTCGCTAATCCAAAAGGCATCACCGTATATTCAAAATGTCTATATCGAGTCCGGAATGCCGTTTTCCATTCATCTCCTTCCGCTATCCTGATTTGGTTATATCCCCAGCGCAAATCTAACTTGGTATAATATTTTGCTTTCGACAATTTGGCCAAAGTTTCCTTCAATAACGGCAATGGGTAACGATTCTTAATCGTAATTGCATTGAGGCCCCGATAGTCGACACATAAACGAAGAGTTCCATCGGCTTTTTTGACGAATAGTATAGGTGCTCCTGCTGGGGATTCACTATGGCGGATAATTCCCTTGGGCAGATTTTCTTGAAGGTAATTCCAGAGTGCTTTCAACTCGATTTGGGATAAAGCATATATTGGTCCCCATGGTGGTTGTTTGCCTTCCTCTAGTACTATTTTCATATCGGGAATGGTCGATGTGGTGGAAGTATTGAAGCATCATATTCTTCAAACATATGGATATAGCGATGGAACTCTCTTGGTATCAATTGTTTAATATCGATGGTCGGTTTTTTAGTTGCTGAAACGGTAACAGTATGAGTTTCCAGTAGGGGAATCGATATGCCATGAACCGTAATTGCAGTTCCACTGAGCGAACAATTTTGACAGCAGCTTCGCAAGTCGAAAATGAGCAAATTTTCCTTTGGTCGAATTGTAACCATCAGCAACCCGTGCATGTCTTCAGGAGACACCGGAGGCTTGGGAGACACCCCACCAACTTTAATTCTCTGGAGGCGGTTGGCCCGTTCGGAGGCCTCCCGGGCCTTCGCTAATGCTCAGGAGGTTCTCGCGACGCTCAAGCACGCCCCCTCGGCACTCTCCGGAGCCTGCATTCATCATATCCGGTTACTCTCTCGACGCCTCGCAACGCCGCTACGATGGCCTCTTGAGCGTTTCAAACGCTCCGGGAGGCTCGATATCACTGCACCGAATCTCTAGAGATCCTCTGGGGCGCGATTCTTGCCTACAGCTACCCGAACGGGTTTCTTCATCCAGTGTAGTATCGCGAAACCTCAAGGGGTTGTCCCAGCCTACTAGAAAGCCTTTTGGAAGGTTTACTGAGCCTCCCACTTATTACCACTGGATTACTGGAGCGAGTCACCTCTCACGCTCTCTCCCGAGGGCTTACCAGGCCATCTAGTGGTCTCCTAAGGCTATTCCTCGCCCCAGCACTATCTCCCATGCTCTCCAGAGGGCCTACCAATCCCTCCTGCGTTATCATGAGCTAGTTAAATTCGTGCTCCACCCTCCCACGCTCTCCAGAGGGCCTACCAAGCCCTCCTATGGTCTCCCGACCCTACTCTTGGCACAAATACCCCTCCCCCACTCTCCCCTGAGGGCCCACTAAGCCCTCCTGTACTCTCCCGACGCCATTCTTGGTACTGACACCCCTTCCCACGCTCTCCAGAGGGCCCACCAAGCCCTCCTGTAGTCTCCCGACGCCATTCTTGGCACTGGCACCCCTTCCCACGCTCTCCAGAGGGCCTACCAAGCCCTCCTATAGTCTCCCGACCCTATTCTTGGCACTGGCACTATCTCTTACGGTCTTCTGGGCCTCGTCAAATTATCACACTTCTCCCCATGCCCTCTTGAAGGCTTATTGAGCCCCCGAGGAGTCTCCTGAGAGTGATCACTACTCTTGAAGGCATTACCCCATTGATTCGGTCTCTGAGAGTCTCTCACGCTTCATAACCCCCGAATCTGATGTACTCCGTAATAATAGCTTACAATTTCCCACATCTGTACCTAATAACGAAAGCATCCCTTCAAATAAATAAAAACATCGCACAAAAACACACGAAAATCATTTATCCCCTGGCAACGCGTCGCCAGAGGCATTTGTCGAGGCTTCTTGAGCCTTGGCCGCGCCCAAATCCCTCCCCGTCACCACCGGGTTTTCTGAGGCATCATCAGTCCCCAATAATATAGCCCGGTCCCGCTGAGCCTTCCGGCGCGGTTTCGTGGCCCTCCACGCCGCGATGTCTACTGCCAACTGCACATCGTCCTCTTCCCTTCCAACCTTAGATATCATCTCTCGAGGGCCTCGCAACTCCTCAATCTACAGGCCTATCAGTCTCAGTCAATTGCGTGCGCGTCTAAGGTTCTTTACCTTATCTTGAATAGACTCTCTTATTACCTCCAGAGTCCCCAGCTGCTTTTCCTCCGTGGTTCTTCTCCACGTGTTGAACATTCTGGGGTACGTTACTAGGCAAAAGTTAGTACGTCGCGACTCCTAAAGGGCTTGATAAGCCTTACACAAGATATCGGTATTCTGGCTGGGGTTAAAGTGCATTCCTTCCACATAATTGCCCGTTGTCCAACATCGCAAAACAAACCAAATAGCAGTGAAAACTAGACAGATGAATTCCGGGGATATATCATCTACGAACTTAGGATCCTTCGCTCCACACATCTTGTCACCTTTGTAATATTTTAGAAATATTACTTTCACGATCTCTGGGGACCAAAAGTGTCGACGACCTGTCTAATAGCTGTAAGACCTTTACATAGGCTGGTTGAGCCTTTGAAATGGCCTATAAAGCCCCATAGCACGTTAAAAGGAGCTCTTACGGCATAGTTGTCGGAGTCACTAATGAAACGATCATTCTCGAGTAGATAGTTAACTTTGTCAGCCCTCGTCTCTGGGGTTGTTAGGTCCTTCAAGCCGTATAAGAAGCCTTTTGCGGCAAAGTCTTTGATTGCAAACACAAGGTGCGATCTCACTCGTGAACTTGCGATTTGAACCTGTGAATAGTTAGCACAGGGCTAACAAGCCTCCTAGGAGGCTTGATCAGCTCTTACCTCACTCTTCGCGCTATTGATTAGGGTTATGTTTGTATTAAAATGAACGTTAGCCTCCGACCAAAATCGCCGGACGTTAACGGTAAGAGATTCAGGCATTGGCCAAGGCTCCTCAAGCAATGTATGCCGCGAGAGAAGGTCCTTAGCATACCTGATAATCGGCTTTGCCTCCGCTGGCACGTCCCCCCTGTCAGAGCCGTAAACTGACTCTGGCGCTGGTGTGGCACATGCTTGCGTGGGTGGGGTTGCACGATAGGGCTGAGAAGGCGGAGGTGTACGTTCAATGTGATGTTCATTTCGCAATGTACTAGACGAGCGAAATGAGGTTCTTGGTGATGTAGACGCGGGCTTGGAAGCTAGGGAAGCCCTGCTCATGGCTCGGGAGGGAGTCCCCGACCTTTTTGAAGTAACCGTCGTACGGCTTCCATACTGCCTGGTGTTATCACCTTATCCGCAACCTATGGGTTGTGGTTAATACCTGTACTGTATTAACTCCCACGGCAGATGAAACAATTGCTTCGGCTGCTGTGCCACTAATTCTTCTCCTAGAGGCTGCAACAGCCCTGGCGGAGGCTACGGGAGCCTCCCTTGGCCTCTTACCAGCACGAATTCCCTGGCTGGGTACTGGCGGTGCCCGTAGTGGTGGTGCCCGTGGTGGTGGTGCCCGTGGTGGTGGTGCCCGTGTAGGCCGTGCTCGTGTTGGCGGAGGTGGTGGAGACACCCTTCGTTCAGATAAGGGCATCACGGGTGGGGTATTTTCGTCCCCAGGCTCTTCATAGTCGTCATAATCATCCTCATAGACATCTACCTCGTCCTCCTCCGCCACTGGGTGATCGTCGAAGTCAATCCACGGCTGTGGGCATTCTAAAACGCCGTTTACCAATATTTGGCCCCCGGGCGAGCTCAATGGGCCATCTCGATAGCCCGAGGGGCCATGAAAGGAATCTTGGTGAGTATCCAGCTCTGTAGGTGATCCCGACCTCACACTGCTAGCGACACTTGAAACACTCATCGCCTCCCTAAGCCGTTTATTAACAGAGGTGGAGATAGTAGTGTTGGTTGCACTATATCGATCGTCAATGGCACGTTTGGTGGTTCTTTGCCTTTGGGAAGTCATGATAATGTTTGTGGGGAAAAGAATGGCCAGGTAGGCACTGGAGAATGCTTCCGAGGCTCACTATTAATATAGTATGCTTAGCAACCTCTAATATTCTTCTTTTTTCTCTTAGTTGGCTAAGCTATATGCAGTCATCCGAATGCTTGGCAGAAAACTCTGCATTTTCTTGGGCTGAGCTATACCGCTTATAGTCACCCGCCTATCGTCTAAAGGCTTAGGAAGCCTTTTGAATCGCCAATGAAGAAAACGCGGGAGGAAAAACAAATCTTATAAGTATTAATAAATGCTAAGATGAGGCGACTAACTCTAAAACAGATAAGAAAGTCTAAAGAGGCAGCTGCACCAGAAATAGAAAAAGAAAAAAACTGCCTAACAAGCTTTGAAGAAGGCTTCTCAAGCCTTCTCTAGCCGAACATACGTATAGCGCTCACCAAATAGATAAGGTAAGCTAATTCCAAAACAGATATAAAAAGCCTAAAAAGGCAACTACACTTACCAGATACGGCACTTGGCTAATAAAAAAAATAAAAACTGATCAACAAACCAATGATCCCCAAGAAGGCTCCTCGAGCCTTTCAAATAGCTTAACATGCCGCCCCTAGCTAGCATTATCAGTTACCGTCATCGTCATCCCCATCGTCGTCGCCTTCTTCTTCGACATCGTTTTCGTCTCCACCTATGCCGCCGTTATGCCTAAATACATGGTTTCTCTCAGCCAATGTCCAAATCTTGAGGCGGTCATGGTGGCAAGACATAAAGCCAATGCGATTCGGAAACTTCAATCTATACCGCCTAACTAGCCTACGCCCTATTGTTTGGTATCTTTCCACCCGTTCATCAAATACCGCCATTAACTCCTGGAAACCGGTATCGCTTTGGGGCATAGCAAAATTCAGACCAGTGTTATTTACCTTATCAATAAAGGTAAGCATTTGCTCCTCCTTATCGACTTCTATCATTTGGAAATCGTGTTCATCCAGGTCCTCCCACCCATCAGGCGGAGGAGTTTCGGGTCTATGTTTAGGCCCGGCAAGCAGTGCACGAGGCCTATGGAGCACGGCACAAAGCCTCAAAGGTTTGGCTTCACTGGTCTTGAGCCAGGCCTCCAACTCCTCCGCGTCGCCAATACGAACATTTTCCGGATTAAGTGCATACGCTGCCCCAGCCGTCCTAGGGGGTCCGTTTGACATGGCTACGTAGAAGGCCCGGATGACCCTCGGGGGCAGACCGTCGGCAACTTTTGGGATACGCTTCATTGCGACCTTGGCCAACTCTGCTAAGGACACCTCCTCGAGGACGCCTATAGACACCGGTAGTGCTGCTGGACCGTACTAGTCAATCTCACGGTAAGCCGCGCTGACGACGGCTCCCATCTTCGTTGGGTCAATAACATGTACGGTTATTGCAGGCCTGTAGGGTATTCCCATGGCCTTCCAAACCTCTGCCGCAGCCAAGGTGGGATTCTCGTTGGACTCGCCTCCCCCCTCAATGATTTCGGCTTAAGCCCTGGCTCCACGGGTGTGGGCTCTGTTCACTTTGTGGGATCGGTCGCCAATGAGATAACCGAGGGCTGCTTTGATCTTCTCGGAGGCCTCCGAGCCCTTCCTCATGTAACTTTGCTTTAAGGCTTTGAGAACTTTGTGATTTATAAGCCAATCCCTCAATCGCCCGAATAAATCAAGTCCAGAGGTTGTCTTGTTGACCCAGCCAATTCTTGTCATCTCATCACTGAGCGCAGTACGCAGAGCCCTGTAGACATCATCTCTTCCAGTAAGTTGCAGAATCTCCCTCATCTGTTCAATACTGGTAATCTTATAGGCAGCTGAGGCTCTTCCCCTGCGTGGTGGCATGCTTGGTGAATCGGCTGAAGCCTTTTGAGCCTTTTCAGGGGTCGCAGGAGGCTTTGAACGAGCCTTTGCTGATTGGGGTTCGTCGGGTTCGTCGTGGATAGTTGTGTCGCTTTCGGCGTCGCTTGGTGAATCGGCTGAAGCCTTTTGAGCCTTTTGAGGGGTCGCAGGAGCCTTTGAACGAGCCTTTGTTGATTGGGGGGCGTCGGGTTCGTCGAGGATAGTTGTGTTGCTTTCGGTATCGCTTTCTTCGGGATTACCAGTATATTCAAAGGGGGGTCGACTCGGAGTTGGGGGTTTGGAGATTTTGCTTTGTTGTTCTTCTTGCAAGGCGGAGCGGCCTACCTCGAGGCTTGATGCGCGTGGTCGAGAGCATGTTAGGCATTCGGGTCCAGGAGAGGCTCCACCAGAGGCTTCCGGGAGAGATTCTGTATCGGCTCTACTAGCTCTGCTTGCGATTTCTGGTACAACTGTTTTTGTTGCAGCGAGGGTGGCGTGGTGGTCCTTGATTTGCTGTATGTGTGCTTCGTACGCTGCTAGGAGCGCGACCGCGTCAAAGTCTTCGAAATCATTGTCTTCAGAGGCCTGGGAGTCTCTTCAACTGGAGGTGGTTCTTCGCCTTCCTCGAGATAGTCAAATGCTAGTACCAAGCGGTCCGCGTATGCCTGTGTGCTTTGAGAGGCTTGGGGAGATTCCGGAAAGGCCTGGTCTTCGACTGCAGGTGCTTCTTCTGCAGGTGCTTCTTCGGCCGGAATGGATGCTTCGACTGGAGGGTTGACGAAGGCCAGAGGGGGTGCTATTGGGGTTGGGGTGGATTCGCTAATGCGCGGATGTTTGCGTTCTCGTGAGTCTTTGTCGGAGGAATACCAAGCTCCAGGGCAATGGGGGAATTCTCCCAAAGGTCGAGTCTGTGTATAGATATGTGAATGATATGTATTTAGAATTAGAAAGGTCAACGTACCATTTTATATATCCGTGGGTTATATTCAAGTGAACGTTAGTTGAAATCCTGACCCTAGCTTAACTTGGGGGCCTGGGGGAGTATCAAGAGTGCGAATGGCCTACTAGAAAGCTCCGCGAGCGTGTAGGGGGGTGCCTATATATATTCTCCTAGATGAGGATCCTATACTACGTCATATATCGAGTTGGTATTGTTTGCTGAAGTTGGGTCATGCTATATCACTCGGGTTGGTGGTTCGGACCTTTTCAAAGGCCTAACAAACACATTTATGAGCTCAATAAGCCTAACCACCATGCACTAGGTCAGTTTTTGGTTTAGCGTGTGGAGAGCTATTTGCCAAGACTAGGTTGACAAATCATTTGTGCCAAGTCATTTCTTTTGGATGGCTTTCAGAGCCTTTTAGATGGCTTTAGGAGCCTTTTAGATGGCTTGAGGAGCCCTCCCGGACACCTCTGCGTTAACGGTGTCAGTTTTGGTTTAGTGTGTGGAGAGCTATTTGCCAAGACTAAGATGACAAATCATTTGTTCCAAGTCATTGGAGCTTTTTGGATGGTCTTAGGAGCCCACCCGACACCTCGGCGTTATCGGTAACATCAAATATCAATCAACAATGAGATCACGATGCCCTTTCTGCATAAGGAGCTACGCAAGTCCTGGTAGTTTCGATCGACATCTTTCAAGAGTCTACGCAGAGAAGGCAGTTGAATGGTACAACAGTCAGCTTACACACCGTGCTGAGGATTCGGTGAACCTTGTAGAAGGCCCGGGAGGACTATACGGAAACGAATTGTTGAATGTTGGGATCTTTTCCTTGGGTCCCACGAGCGTAGACCAAAGCGAGTCTGATAATGAATCAAACGATGACACAGACTCGTTGACAGAACGAGACAGCATGTTCAGACCAGCAACTACCGTGTATGAGGGTGCAGGGGAGCAACTTTTCCCCTCCACAGGATATTCCGAGAGCTCAGAGAGCCTTCTGTCCAACCCGTGGCAACCTTTCAAATCAGCAAAGGAGTTTGAATTATCATGTTGGTTCCTGCGATCCCACATATCGCAGGGTCAAATAGACGATTTTTTTTCGAGCGGCAGGCGCAGGGAAAGGCTCCTACCACAATGGAAAAGGCTTTACAGGCCATCTTGATGAGATGGTTTCTAGGGACGGTTTAGGAAGAGAAGGTTGGATGCACTCAGAGGTCGAGTTGGGGGGCGAGAAGATTGCATACTATTACCGGGACCCTATGAGTGTGGTGCGATTCCTTCTGGGGCAACGTGCATTCAGAGAATCTTTGGTGTATGCCCCAACGATGGAGTACAATGAGCCAGGCGAGCGAATGTACGGTGAAATGCATACGGCAGACTGGTGGTGGGAGATGCAGGTTTGTAAAGCCCTCGTGAATGCTTACTGAGCCTTTCTAACGGAGGTTAAGAATACTCTGCCAGAGGGATCAACAGTGGTACCAGTGATTTGCACATCAGATGGAACGCACCTAACGAATTTCAGTGGTGACAAGAAGGCCTGGCCTGTTTACTTAACGATTGGAAATATCACTTCAGAAATACACAATAAACCTTCCAGTTTTGCATTCATACTTCTGCCTCTTTTACCAGTTCCACGGAAATTGGGAGTACGGGCAAATGAACATCGTCGAGAGAACCAGATCGCCCTTCACAAAGTTTTGGGAAAGATTTTGGAAGGCCTTCGGGGCCCTGCACAAAACGGTGAGCTTATAGCGTGCGCTGATGGCTACGATCGCCTGTGTTTCCCTATACTATGTGCCTGGGTTGCCGATCAGCCAGAACACGCCTCGCTACAAAATATCAACAATCATGCCTGCCCACGATGTGAGGTTGATTTCAAAGGCTTGAGAAGCCTTCACGAAAGCCCGCCACGGATTCAGGAGCGATATGTTGAGATCGTAAAGGAATATGAGGATAATAGGTCTAACGCAGCACCCGTGGAATACCTTGTATCAAAGTCTTTAAAGACCCTCTACAATGCCTTTTGGGCCTTGCCGAGGACCAGCGCCTATGATCTCCACAAGCCCGACATACTACACAATATCTACCTGGGACTATTGAAACACATGATGGAGTGGGTTCAGGGGTTTCTTAAGAAACACAATCGAATAGAGGAGTTTGATCGAGCTTGGTCCTCTATCGGGCCTTATCCAGGGCTCGCTGTGCCCAACAAAGCGTATCGAGCAACTACACAGTGGCAGGGTAAAGAAATGCGACATCTTGGCCGGATAGTTTTGGGAGCCTTTGCGGTGGCTTTACAAGTCCCTCCAATGGCGGCACGGAAAGACTTTAGTAGAGCTTTGCGGTGTGTACGAGCGTTGATTGACTTCCACCTCATGGAACAGTATACAACTCATACAAAGGAGACTCTAGAGTATCTGCAAAGCTATCTCGAAAACTTTCACAAGTATAAAGATGTATTTCTCGAATTCCGGGCCTATAAACGAACGAGGAAGGACGCCAAGGATCGAACAAAAGCACTGCAAGGCTCCGGAAGCCTTGGGAGAGGCCTAGAAGAGGTTCAAGAGATTCGGGAGGGGTCCCATTTTAATTTCATTAAGATGCATCTACTATCACACTTTAGAGAGCATGTGGAGCGATTCGGAAATATACCCATGTTTTCAACGGATGTCAGTGAGTTGGCTCATCGGCGGCAAATTAAGATGGCCTATACTGCTTCGAATAAGGTAGATGCCACGGTCCAGATTCTTGATTACCACCCAAGGCGTATGGTGATGGAGATGAGAGTATTGAATTTGAAAGATATTGTTTTCTCCCTGCCCGAGCATTATGAGGGCCTGCTGAGCCATCGAGAAAGCTTGAGAGACCTATTGGAGATTTTCAAAAATGAAGACCAACAAAGAGGAGGCAGTGAGCGATTGCTGGACGGAGATGCACCACAGAAACCTAAGATGACGACGCCGGACAATTCGGCGATCTGGTTATCTGATATCGCAGACATTATCAAGATGAACAAGACTACACTTGCCAGAGCTGTATCGGAATATGGTCAGGGACTACAACGGGAAGAAGGAGGCTTGTTAAGCCTTCTTGACTACCCAGTGAGGTATTTCAAATGCCTGCAGGTGCCAGTATCAGTGTTCCAAAAGAGTGATAGCTACGAGATACATAACATACGATGCACTGGAGAGGATTTGTTCAGGAAAAGGGAAGTTCGGAATGATTGGGCTTGGATTAAGGTACTACGGACCCCTGGGGAGCATTTCAGGGACGTTTATCAAGGCACCTGAAGGCAATATTCAGACTACGTGATATCTTTACTAGAAAGACATATCAACTTTGCTTGTTTGAGCTGCTGGAGGCAAGGGACAGGGGCCTTCCTGAAGGCTCGCATGGACTTCTAAGAGTCGCGAGGCACTCCCGGCAAAGATTTTGGATAATTAATACTCGTAGCGTCTTGGGAATGGCACATTTGTTGGAATTGTGGCAGGGACAATGGCTGGTAAACACTAGAGTAGATTTAAGAACTTCGAACGAATTACATGTATAAGGTTAACGAGGGCTTAAAGAGCCTAGGCAAATGCTTCTGAAGACTGGTCCTCTTAAACGATATGTATATACATGGGCAATATAAGATTCAACAGATAAGAAATCCAAGGGCTGGTAAAGGCTCAAGTAAAAGTGTTAGGTGTTAGGTTTTGTAACTAGCCGAGCGGCTTGAGAGATCAGGAGTGGCGCGAGGGGCTTTTTGGAAGGCTCGAGGGGCCTGTTGGGTAGATTTTGGGTGGTTTAAGGGGGGGCGTGAGGCGCCTATAGAGTGGCTAAGTGGGGCTTGAAGAGCGTTTGGGGGTCTCGAGAAGCCTATAGATTTATAAGACGAGTCGGGGCCTTGAGAGAGGTTGAGGGGGCTCAAGAGGCTTTTTGGGAGACTCGCGGAGCCTGTTGGGGAGTGGTCTAAGGGTGTCGAGTGGCTGGGGAGGGTTGTGAGAAGCTCGAGAGGCCCGCTGAAATGTCTAGGAAGCCTTTTAGAAGGCTCGGGAAGCCTGGTTAAAGAGGAAGCGGGAGAGACTCAAGAGAAGAAATTGAGGCGGAGAGTTCTCCAGAGAGTGCCAGGTTACTCCGGAGGCTCAACGGATTAGGCGAGGTGGTGAGGAGACATGGGAGGGGTAGGGAGACTAGTTGTCTTGGCATCAACCTTTGGAGAAAGGGACAATCCCCCGGAGGCGGATGCTAGCTTGCTGATGACATCATGGCGTCGCATCCAAGGTATCCCAATCACAATCGGATAATGTCCCAATTTGGTCACAAAACATGACGCAGTCTCTCGATGGCCATGAATGTCTAGCGAGACATCGACAATATGGGTAATCCTCCCTGACTTGATAGGTCTACCATCTATAACATCCACATGGCGGGGTATTTTGAGTGGGGTCATGGTGAGATTGTTGTGGCGTGCAAAAGATTCATCGATGAAAGCAAATCCTGAGGCTCCGGTATCAATAAGGGCGTAGGTGGGTACGAAAGTATTTTTATTCTGTGAAATTGAACAAGTTACTACAAATTGGTTCCCATCCATTTCCTCCTCTGATACCGAAAAACCAGAAATATTCATCCTAGAAAAATCATTAAATGGCCCCTGGGCTAAGCCACTTAGTGCAGGGACAAATCTTTTGCCGACTCATTATCGCTTCCCTCATTTTCCTCTATCCTCAATGCTGCTCCTCTCATCACCGGTCTCCTTGGTTGATTTCCAGTTGCCCTTGCCTGGGGGCAATCCCTAACCATATGTCCGACTCCTCCGCAATAGAAACATCGGCCCTCAGCTAAGCGGGTATTTCTTTCGGCGGGGGTGGGGCGACGACGTCCTCCGGACAGATCCATTGGTACATCACCTTCCGGGCGGAATGAGGGATGGTTCTCAGGGGCAGGTGCATTGACAGCTGGGGCGGCAGCGCGAGGGGTAGGCACAGGATTCCCTGGTGGAGGGCGACGGGTCGGAGCAGCAGTAGCATTCCAAGGCTTTTTATTTCCTCGCTTAGCTTCTGCCGCTCGTTGTCGATTATCTAACCGTTGCAAAAGTGTCGCGCAGGCATCTACTGTCGCAGGAGTTTCATGGTGTATCATCGATTCATCGAGTTCCGCATTAATACCCTCCATCAAAGCCTCAATCCGAGAGACTTCATCCATCCCTGACTCGGCAGCATATCGTTGGAATTCGGCGAAGTAATCAGCAAAGGTTCGGTTTCGTTGACGGATGTTCCTAAGGTTCTTCCTAGCCATACGGATTCGATCAGGATCCCCAAAAGCACTATCTAAGATTTCATAAAACCGCAACATGGAAAGCAAAGCGATGCCTTCTTCTCCGACATATTGTAAGAACTGATTGGCGACGACACCTTCCAATCGGCTGAATGCATAAGATAATTTGGACTGTAGTGTGGGAAAGCGGTTGGCATTTCCCAATAGTTTAATCCTCATCTGTTGTTTGAATAGGTGTAATCTTTCTCGATCGCGATCTCCCCTAAACACCTCAGGATCTGGGAGCTTTTCCGACCGCTGGGTAGTAGCCACAACGGGTGGTATTGGAGGCGCGGGTGGAGCATCATCACCACCAATCGGTTCTTCATCAGGGGCAACTACTTCAACAGCGACCCGCTGGGCTCGAGCAGCAGCAAGGTCTCGTTCGAACATCTCCCTTGCATTTCCAGCCTCTCTCTCCACCTCTTGTAAGTCCGTTGCATACTGAGCGAGACCATGTTGGGCTCTTTGAAGGAGTGCATAAGCTTCTATTCCGACAGTATTATCGACCTGTGGATGTTCTTGGAAAAAGGTTTGAAGGGTGTCGCTTAGTTGTTGGTAATCGATGGGAACGTGTTCCGACATTGTAGGCTATAGTGTTGCATTGGTTGGCGATAAGGGACGGAACCTAGTGTAACGGGTGTCTATGGACGCAGGGACTATGCTGCCAAGGAATACAACTAAGGCGAGGACGTGGCAATAGGTACTCAAGACTATGGACTATGGAGTGGCTCTATCTAGTATGACAACTAGTTGAACCCTATGGCGAGGCGTAGAACAAAAGTAGTATTCGTGGAGTAGAGACAGGAGGTTCCGTGAAGAGAAGAGGAAAAGAAGGAAAACATGAAAAGGCACAAGACAAAACCCCCTTATATACCCAACTCCTAGTCCGTTGATGACTAATATATTGCGTAACGGAAACCGAAAGAACATAACAGAAAACCCATTACAAATCATAGTCCAACTGCGCGATTCCTTCTCTTCACAACCCAATCTATCACCTTAGCCGAAATATAATATTGCCGTTACATTGTTGTAACGGTGGTCTATGGACGTAGGGACTATGGTGCCAAGGAATACAACCGAGGCGAGGACGTGGCAATAGGTATTCAGGACTATGGGCTATGGAGTGGCTCTATCTAGTTTGACAACTAATTGAACCTAGGACGAAGCGTAGAGCAAAAGTAGTATTCGTTGGGGTAGATACAGGAGGTTCCGTGAAGAGGAGAGGAAAGGAAGGAAAACATGAAAATGCACGAGACAACACCCCCTTATATATCCAACTCCTAGTCCGTTGATGACTAATATCTTGCGTAACGGAAACCGAAAGAACATAACAGAAAACCCATTACAAATCATAGTCCAACTGCGCGATTCCTTCTCTTCACAACCCAATCTATCACCTTAGCCGAAATAGAATATTGCCGTTACAATTGTTGATAAGAGACATAACTTCGAAGATACTGTTCCATTACGGCATTGAACCTTTCGGTTTGTCCATCGGTCTGAGGATGGAAGGCGGTGGAGAATCGTGGGGATATTTCCAGGCGTTTGCAAAATGGTTTCCAAAATTCCGCAACGGATTGTGTTCCTCTATCGGACACGACAGTATCAGGTAGTCCATGTAGCTTCCACACATTATCGATATACAACATCGCTACCCTCTTCGAATACACCTCTTTAGTCGTTGGTATCAGATGTCGCATTTTGGTTAATCTATCAACAACAACTAGGATCGCATTATACCCCTCACTCCCAGGGAGGTCAGTGACAAAATCCATCGAAACATCCGTCCATGGTCCATCGGGTATTGGCATTGGGCGAAGTACTCCATAAGGCGCATTACGTGGTGCCTTGCTACGGACACACATATTGCAATTCCTAACATATCGATCGACATACTTCCGCATTTGTGGCCAATAATATTCCCGGCTTAGGAGTTCCAAAGTCTTCGCTCTACCCGGATGACTTGCTGATACTTTATCGTGATGTTCTTGTAGGAGCCTCAGCCGGAGGTCATTATCATTTGGTACGTATAGTGCACCTCGATAAAGTAGCCGACTGTTGTTGTCTTCCGTACATTCGGCAAGTGAAGTTTTATTAGAGTGATGAACGTCACTCCGAAGCATAGCGAGGGTTTCGTTTGGGAAACTATCAACTTGGTAAGCTTTTGAAAACAACTCCTCCACAGTAGACATTCCTTCAGCAGATTCATTTGATAAAGAACCCGCGAACAAACTTAGCTTTGCATCCAAATTTTTTCTCTTCAGAACCACTTGGCTCTGATGCATCAACCGTTCATCCCCCTCTTTAGGGAGGTCACCTGACCTTCTAGTTAGTGCATCCGGTTTTGCTCCTTGTTTTCCCGGTCGAAATTGTATAACGAAATCGAAACGTGAAAGAAATTCAGACCAACGAGCTTGCCGACGATTTAATAATTTTGTCGTCATGAAATATTCCAGGTTTCGGTGATCGCTGAGAACTTCAATAGGGAATTGTGCTCCTTCTAGATGATGTCGCCACTCTTCGAAACATCGTACGATTGCTAGAAGTTCTTTATCGTAGATTTCAATGTTACATTCCGCAGGGGAATGTTTCTTGGAAAAAAAAGCTACCGGATATAAAACTCCCTCATCATCACATTGTGATAGAATCCCTGCCGAAACATAGTCGGATGCATCGGTTTCCACTACAATCTTTTGATTCGGATTGAAATGAACTAGTATAGGTGCCGTTGTAAACATCTCCTTCAAGATTTGAAATGCTTTCTCCCTTTCATCCGTCCATTCGAATTTAACATTTTTCTTCGTTAGAGCTGTAAGCGGGGCGACAATCTTTGAATATCCTAAGATAAACCGTCGATAAAAATTTGCAAATCCCAAAAATACTTGAACATCATGAAGATTTGTCGGTGTAGATCATTCTAGAACATCAATAACTTTCTTTGGATCCATTCTGTTGCCATTTGGGGTGAGGATTAGGCCGAGATATTTCGTTTCTTGAACCATAAATTCACATTTTTCGGGTTTGAGGTGGACATGATTCTCATCAAGTACCGTTAAAACCTTTTGAATATGGTCCTTATGCTCTGCAAGGGATTCGGAATAGATGAGAATATCGTCTAAATAGGCTGTCACAAATTGATCGAGATAGGGGCGCAGGATGTCATTGATCCAGTGTTGAAACGTAGCAGGAGCGTTCGCTAATCCAAAAGGCATTACCGTATATTCAAAGTGTCCATATCGAGTCCGGAATGCCGTTTTCCATTCGTCTCCTTCCGCTATCCTGATTTGGTTATATCCCCAGCGCAAATCTAACTTGGTATAATATTTTGCTTTCGACAATTTGGCCAAAGTTTCCTTCAATAACGGCAATGGGTAACGATTCTTAATCGTAATTGCATTGAGGCCTCGATAGTCGACACATAAACGAAGAGTTCCATCGGCTTTCTTGACGAATAGTATAGGTGCTCCTGCTGGCGATTGACTATGGCGGATAATTCCCTTGGGCAGATTTTCTTGAAGATAATCCCAGAGTGCTTTCAACTCAATTTGGGATAGAGCGTATATTGGTCCCATGGTGGTTGTTTGCCTTCTTCTAATACTATCTTCATATCATGGAACGGTCGATGTGGCGGAAGTATTGAAGCGTCATATTCTTCAAACATGTGGATATGGCGGTGGAACTCCTTCGGTATTAGTTGTTTAATATCGATGGTAGGTTTTTCGGTCGCTGAGACGGTAACGGTATGAGTTTCAGGTAGGGGAATTGATATACCATGAACCGTAATTGCAGTTCCACTAAGCGAACAATGTTGACAGCAGCTTTGAGAGTCGAAGATAAGCAAATTTTCCTTTGGTCGAATCATAACATCATGGCGTCGCATCCAAGGTATCCCCATCACAATCGGATAGTGTCCCAACTTTGTCACACAACATGATGCAGTTTCTCGATGGCCATGAATGTCTAGCGAGACATCAACAATATGAGTAATCTTTCCTGACTTGATAGGTGTAACGGTGGTCTATGGACGTAGGGACTATGGTGCCAAGGAATACAACCGAGGCGGGTACGTGACAATAGGTATTCAAGACTATGGGCTATGGGGTGGCTCTTCCTAGTATGACGACTAGTTGAACCCTATGACGAGGCGTAGAGCAAAAGTAGTATTCGTGGAGTAAATACAAAGGTTCCGTGAAGAGAAGAAGAAAGTAAGGAAAACATGAGAAGGCACGAGACAACACTCCTTTATATATCCAGCCTCTAGTCCGTTGATGACTCATACCTCGCGTAACGGAAACCAAAAGAACATAACAGAAACCCCATTACCAATCCTAATTCAACTACGCAATACCTTCCCTTCACAATTCAATCGATCATTCTAACCAACAGATAATATTGCCGTTACAATAGGTCTGCCGTCTATAACATCTGCATGGCGTGGTATTTTGAGTAGGGTCATGGTGAGATTGTTGTGGCGTCCAAAAGATTCATCGATGAAAGCATATCCTGATGCTCCGGTATCAATAAGGGCATAGGTGGGTACGAAAGTATTTTTATTCTGTGAAATTGAACAAGTTACTACAAATTGGTTCCCATCCATTTCCTCCTCTGATACCGAAAAACCAGAAATATGCATCCTAGAAAAATCCTTAAATGGTCCCTGGGCTAAGCCACTTAGTGCAGGGACAAATCTTTTGCCGACTCGTTATCACTTCCATCATTTTCCTCTATCCTCAATGCTGCTCCTCTCATCACCGGTCTTTTTGGTTGATTTCCAGTTGCCCTTGCTTGGGGGCAATCTCTAACTATGTGTCCGACTCCTCCGCAATAGAAACATCGGCCCTCAGCTAAGCGGGCATTTCCTTCGGTGGGTGTGGGGCGACGACGTCCCCCGGACAGATCCATTGGTACATCACCTTCCGGGCGGAATTAGGGATGGTTCTCAGGGGCAGGTGCATTGACAGCTGGGGCGGCAGCGTGAGGAGTAGGTGTAACGGCAATATTGTATTTCGGCTAAAGTGGTAGATTGGATTGTGAAGAGGAGGTATTGCGCGGTTGAACTATGATTTGTAATTGGGTTTCTGTTATATTCTTTCAGTGTCCATTACGCGGGGCATTAGTCATCAACGGACTAGGAGTTGGATATATAAGGGGGCGTTGTTTCGTGCCTTTTGATGTTTTCCTTCCTTTCCTCTTCTTCTCACGGAACCTTTGTATTTACTCCACGATATTACTTTGTTCTACGCCTCGTAATAGGGTTCAACTAGTTAGTCATACTAGGTAGAGCCACTCCATAGTCCATAGTCTCGATTACCTATTGCTACGTCTTCGCCTCGGTTGTATTCCTTGGCACCATAGTCCCTACGCCCATAGACCCCCGTTACAGTAGGGGCAGGATTCACTGGTGGGGGGCGAGGAGTCGGAGTAGCAGTAGCATTCCAAGGCTTTTTATTTCCTCGCTTAGCTTCTGCCGCTCGTCGTCAATTATCTAACCGTTGTAAGAGTGTCGCACATGCATCTACCGTCGCAGGAGTTTTATGGTGTATCATTGATTCATCGAGTTCCGCATTAATGCCTTCCATCAAAGCCTCAATCCTCGAGACTTCATCCATCCCTGACTCGGCAGCATACCGCTGGAATTCGGCGAAGTAATCAGCAAAGGTTCGGTTTCGTTGACGGATGTTCCTAAGGTTCCTCCTAGCCGTACGCATTCGATCAGGGTCCCCAAAAGCGGTATCCAAGATTTCATAAAACCGTAACATGGAAGGCAAAGCAATGCCTTCTTCTCCGACATATTGTAAGAACTGATTGGCGGCGAAACCCTACAATCGGCTGAATGCATAGGATAACTTGGACTGTAGTGTGAGAAAGCGGTCGGAGTTTTCCCAATAGCTTGATCCTCATCTGTTGCTTGAATAGATGTAGTCTTTCTCGATCGCGATCTCCCCTAAACACTTCAGGATCTGGGAGCTTTTCCGACTGTTGGGTAACCACTGGAACAGGTGGAACTGGAGGTACCGGTGGGGCATTATCATCTCCGATTGGTTCTTCATCAGGGGCAACCACTTCAACAGCAACTCGGTGGCCCCTGGCAGCGGCTAGATCTCGTTCAAACATCTCTCTCGCATTTCCAGCCTCCCTCTCCACCTCTTGTAAGTCCGTTGCATACTGAGCAAGGCCATGTTGTGCCCGTTGAAGAAGTGCATAGGCTTCTATTCCAACATTGCCATCCACCTCTGGATGTTCTTGAAAGAAGGCCTGAAGGGCATGGCTTAGCTGTTGATAATCAATAGGAAGATTTGTCGCCATGGTAGACTATAGTGTTGTATTGGTTGACAATAGAGGACGCAACTTGGTGTAACGGGGGTCTATGGACGTAGGGACTATGGTACCAATGAATACAACCGAGACGAGGACGTGGCAATAGGTGTTCAAGACTATGGGCTATGGAGTGGCTCTACCTAGTATGACAACTAGTTGAACCCTATGACGAGGCGTAGAACGAAAGTAGTATTCGTGGAGTAGATACAAAGGTTCCGTAAAGAAAAGAGGAAAGGAAGGGAAACGTAAAAAGGCATGAGACAACGCCCCCTTATATATCCAACTCCTAGTCCGTTGATGATTAATACCCCGCGTAACGGAAATCGAAAGAACATAACAGAAACCCCATTACAAATCATAGTTCAACCACGCAATACCTCCTCTTCACAATCCAATCTATCGCCTTTAGCCGAAATACAATATTGCCATTACAGCCTTGAACGGCTGGTCGTTTAGGTTTCACAATCGGGGGAGCCGACGGGTTTGAGGAGGGGTAAGAAGAATGACGCGTCCTAGTAAAAGGCTTCAACCCGGTAGATAGGGGGGCGTCTTATTCAGGGCCTGAAGCAATTCGAGAGTCAGGATGTCGAAACGGGAGGGGGTCCCCTGTACCCTCGAGCAGTCTGCCTCGGGTAAATACAGGATTTGGATTTTATATTGCTTTGAAGTACAGGACTTATCGCACGCCGGATCCTCCGCCATCAAACATAGAAAAGAACGGAAGGAAACAGAAAGAAACGGAAAGGGAAAAGAACGTAAAGAATCATAAGAAGGTATAGAAAAGGAAAGAGAGAAAACCAAAGAAACTGTTCATCATTCCTCTGGGTCCTCCTCGTCCATTTCGTACCAGTCGAGTAGGTTGGTTTTTGCTGCGAATTGTAGAACCAGGTAAACATTAAGGTTGGTGAATAAGCAGTTTTCCCAGGTGGGTGGTCCTGGGATCTTGTCCATGAGTGGCCTTCGTATTTGTGTCCATCGCGGGCACTCAATTATGGTGTGTTTGAAGGATTGTTCTTAGCCAGATTGTCAAAGGTCGGGTTCCGTGAAAGCTGGGTATCTGTCTATCCTGGTGACTTGACATCGTATGCGGTGTATGAATTTCGTTTTGGATCGGGGAAGTTTTGTTTGTTTGGGGTGGAGCTTTAGGGTTCCTGGCTCATAGTAGTTGGTGCATGAGATGGAGTTCCATTCTTCTAGCAGTCATCTGGTAAGTGTGTCGTTCTGGATCCATCGCTCTCTGCGGTGGCCTGGTTGTTGGAAGGGTAGCATGAGTGATGCAATCCGATGTAGGCCTGTGCCTTCTGTGTTTTTAATTCTAGTGGGGAGGAGCTGTATGAGACCTTCGTTGAGTGGGTGGTCGGCAGGGTGGCAAAGGATACGCGTCCCGTATTTTCGTGATTTGTGGTTGAGGAGGTGTTCGAGTGGGGGGAGGGCTGCCTCTTTCAGCAGTCTTTCGGTTTTTGTCCAGCGGGGTAGGCCTGTGACTATCCTTGCAGCTTTATTATAAAGTGGGGATAGTGATCGGAGGATATGGTCGTCTCCCGTCCAACATGCCTCTGATCCAAATAGGATGGTGGGGAGGAAGCCTTGGACAATGATGTGATGGATGGATTTTACTGTTGTTCCGGGGAGTTATGCGATGTTTCTGATTCTGCTTATGGCTTTAAGGCCTTTGGCGATGGTTTCTTCGATGTGGGGTCGGAAGGAGAGGTTTGAGTCCAGCCAGACTCCAAATATTTGAGTCTGTCTTTAGGTTGGATTTCTTCTTTTGTGATTATTACCAAGTTTCTGGGAGTTGGGGTACTCGACGTTGTGGGTTTGAAGAATACCAGGTCAGATTTCTGTGGTTCGTATTTGATATTGAGGGGTGCTGCTTTCCTGACTCTTTCAGCCATTCTTTCGTTGAGTCTTTTGGTGATGTAGAGGGGGGACTTTGCGAGTTGTACGAGTGCATCATCGTCGATATAGGTGGTGTTGGTTTCTTTGGGGGAATTGGTGGGATCTGTTATCACCCCAGCGTATATCATAAATAATACTGGGGATAAGGGGGAGCCTTGGGGCAGTCCTGAGGTATATGGTTGTGGTGATTCCAGTTCGTTGTTGAATTGGAATTGGAGCGTTCGGTTGGTGTTGAACTCTTTACACCAGTTGGTTAGGTATGTTGGGAATTTTTGTTGAGTCATAATTTCTGCGAGTAGGAGATGGTCGACGCAGTTAAAGGCTCCTTGTCTATCATTTGTGAGGAGAGCTGGTCTGTCTGGGGTAGTTCCTGTAGTCCGTGTAATCAGGAGGTTTTGTAAGATGGGTGTGAGGGTTCGTAGTAGGGCATCAATTGCTGAGATTGTTGGTCTTCCTCCGAATTGGTCTTTACTGAGGGTTTCTAGTATGGATCCGGCGGTGCATAGTCTTGTTGCCACTACCTTTTCCAGTACTTTGCTTACGCATTGTAACAGGGAGATGGGTCGATAGGCTTTGCCTGATGAATAGTCGGGTTTTCCTGGTTTCGGGATTGGTATGCATTTTGCAATTTTCCATCTATCCGGTTGGACTCCATGTCGGAGCATGGCTGAGAACATGTTTTGGAAGAGTTGGGTGTTTGCCTTGATTGTTGCCTGTATGAATGGGTATGAGATGTTATCGGGTCCAGTGGCCGAGTGTATTGGGCATGATTTGATTGCGGATGTAATTTCTTCTGTTGTTACTTCCTGAAAATCGTCACTAAGGTTAAAGGAGGGGGATCTGATTTGGAGTGGGGGGTTGTTGGGGGACGTCCAATTTGTGGGGAAGAGTTGGGCTCTTAGAGCTTGGCACTTCCCCGCAAACGTTTCTTCACCTTGAATAGTTGGGATTGTAGTGTCCCTTCTTTTCCCCGTGTTGATTAGGTTCCAGATGGCACTTCCCTTGGCCTCCGTGAGTTCTTTCTCACTTTGTTCTGCCTTGGCTTTACGGATCGCTGCGGTCTACTTTCTGCTCACTTTCCTGAGGGATTCCCTGTCTTCAGTCTTTTGGGTGTTTCTGGCTTTCCTTTCTAGTGTGTTGAGGGTTGATTTGAGTTCTTTCAGCTCTGGGGTCCACCACTTCTTAGATTTGAGGTGTCCTTGGCTCCATGGGGTGACTTGCTCTATTAGGCTATCTATATGTTCGAGGATGAAATCGACCGATCGTTTTGTGTGGTTCTGGCTTTCCCATGCTTCGGGCGGAGGTGCAGGCCCGAGATATTCTCCTCCAGTTTTTCCCAGTTTGTCCGATGCCATAGTCTCCTGAGGATTTAGGGGGGTTTCTCTATTCGTAGTTGTAGGATGGTTTTCCCGAGATCAGAACCTGTCTCATGTCGGTCAATGTTCCAGCGGATAACGTAGTCCAGTCATCAGCAAACCTGTAGCCTTCGCCAGACGCCCGGGGCGCTCAGGGCGCTCAGGGCGCTCGGTAGGTAAACTACCCCTCCAGAGATACCGCCAGTGCTCCTGGCGAGGTCTGGCGCACATTATTCCGCCCCAGCGCACACTAGTCCGCACAACGGGCCCCGACACTAAATAATAGCGCCCGGTGTAACTAGGACGTCACTCTACCCGCTAGAGAACGCCAGTTGCACGCTTGGATATCCTGACTGCTCCTGGAGCACTCTTCACTGCTCCAGCGGGCTCTGGGGATAGAATGATTGCCCTGACTCCCCCTGACGTTGCCGGATGGGGTGCTTTGAAATCTGGCTCATGCCCGACGTACCGATTCCTACATGTCGGCGCCCCGTTCTCTCTAGGCATACACCTCTCCACCGTTCCGGCCTCTGGTATTCACAATTCCCCCATGAGATTACAAAAACATCACTCGCACGACGATCTCTACTGTCTCCAGAGCACTCGCGACTGCACTTTGAGAATTGGTGTATTCAACACCGTGATCCTCCGCCTAATACTAAATACAATACGCCATTTAACACTCTAACTAACCCTAATACAATATACGAATCAGAAGAAATCTCCCACTATCTCCCTTAGCACTCGTGATTGTTCTACACATCCTCCTCCCCCCCCCTTCGTAATCCCCCGCTACAGGTAATTCCGGCTCTTCTTCTTCCTCCTCCCCCTCCTCTTCGGTGTCAATGCCGCGAAGTCGGGCATTAATCACTTCGTCCTGGGCGCTGTCGGAATCAACCCGACCTCCTGGAGCACTCGTGGGTGTTCTCCGAGCATCTCGGAATGCGGCAAGATCCGCAGCCAGAGCTTCATCGTCCTCGCTAAAACCCTCCTCCGGTATAATCTCAATCGTTACCCCTTTTTTATCTCGTATCTATTAGGGTTAGCATTTAGAATACCACTCGCATTACCGGCATCTAGAAGTATCATACCTTTTCTCGAAGGTTATCTTTGATTACCTCCAAGGTTGCCTCCTGGTTCTGTTTACTTCTCCCCTTCCAAGTGTTGCTCATCCTGTTGAACGTTTCTACTCGTGTTTGGATGTCAGCTTGGCAATCCCGTATAGCCCTAGGAGCATCCGTCATTGCTCCCAAGGCACTCGCCATATCAATGAGGGCATCGGGCCATACTTACTCACAACACTCTCATTCTGCGACTGAAAATTATCAGGCTTCACGTAACTCCCTGTTGACCACGCCCGAATGCCGTGCCAGATCGCCGTCGATATCAGGCAAATAAGGGTAGGGGTTATCCGCTCTAGAAATTCGGGATCCCTAACCCCTCGCATTCTTACCCCATCGAAGTATTTAAAATACAATATATCGATAATTTCCGGAGCCAGGAAGCGCAGTCGGTAGGTCTAGAATCTGTTACCGGCTATCCCGAGTGCTCTCTGGGCATCCACTGGCATCATACCTCGTAATGCTGTTGGGGGCTCAAGAAACGATCATTCTTCAAAAGGTATTCCACTTGAGCCGCCCTCGCCTCAGGCCCCACAAAATTTCCAAGCCCGTATATCGTAGAGTCCGCCAGGCGCCCTTTCACCTCGTGCATCAAGTGGGAACGGACACGGGAGTGCAGACTTCTGACCTATCATTCTCAATTATGCTTCCAGAGCACTCGTAATCCTTTTGGGGGCACTCACCTGTTTAATAACGACCTCATCAAGGTCTACTCTACACCCCACTCGGCGACTAGCAGTTGCCCACATGCTCACTACCAGTACCGAAAGTCTTGCTGCAGGTGGAAAGGGCTCATGTAGAAGAGTATGCTCCCCGATTAACACGCTACACTCCTTCTCAATCCTCTGAGCCTGCACTGACAGCTGTAACGGCAATATTATATTTCGGCTAAGGTGATAGTTTGGGTTGTGAAGAGAAGGAATAGCGCAGTTGAACTATGATTTGTAATAGGTTTTCCGTTATGTTCTTTTGGATTCCGTTACGCGAGGTATGAGTCATCGACGGACTAGAGGCTGGGTATATAAAGGGGTGTTGTCTCGTGCCTTCTCATGCTTTCCTTCCTTTCCTTTTCTCTTCACGGAACTTCTTGTATCTACTCCACGAATACTACTCTTGTCCCACGCCTCGTCATAGGGTTCCCCCGGTTGGTCATACCAGGTAGAGCCGTCCCGAAGTCCATAGTCCTGAATACCTATTGCTACGTCCTTGCCTCGGTTGTATTCCTTGGCACCATAGTCCTCACGCCTATAGACCCCCGCTACACCAAGTTCCGTCCTCTATTGCCAACTAATACAACACCATAGTCTACCATGGCAACACATCTTCCTATTGATTACCAACAGCTAAGCAATGCCCTTCAGACCTTTTTTCAAGAACACCCAGAGGTGGATGGCAATGTTGGAATAGAAGCCTATGCACTTCTTCAACGGGCACAACATGGCCTTGCTCAGTATGCAACGGACTTACAGGAGGTAGAAAGGGAGGCTGGAAATGCGAGGGAAATGTTTGAACGAGATCTAGCCGCTGCCAGAGGCCATCGAGTTGCTGTTGAAGTGGTTGCCCCTGATGAAGAACCAATCGGAGAAGATAATGCCCCACCGGTACCTCCAGTTCCACCTGTCCCAGTGGTTACCCAACGGTCGGAAAAACTCCCAAACCCTGAAGTATTTAGGGGAGATCGCGATCGAGAAAGACTACACCTATTCAAGCAACAGATGAGGATCAAGCTATTGGGAAATGCCGACCGCTTTCCCACACTACAGTCTAAGTTATCCTATGCATTCAGCCGATTGGAGGGTGTTGCCGCCAATCAGTTCTTACAATATGTCGGAGAAGAAGGTATTGCTTTGCCTTCCATGTTACGGTTTTATGAAATCTTGGATACTGCTTTCGGGGACCCCGATCGAATGCGTACGGCTAGGAGGAATCTTAGAAACATCCGTCAACGAAACCGAACCTTTGCTGATTACTTCGCCGAATTTCAACGGTATGCTGCCGAGTCAGGGATGGATGAAGTCTCTAGGATTGAGGCTTTGATGGAAGGCATTAATGCAGAACTCGATGAATCAATGATACACCATGAAACTCCTGCGACGGTAGATGCATGTGCGATCCTCTTGCAACGGTTAGATAATCGACGACGAGCGGCAGAAGCTAAACGAGGAAATAAAAAGCCTTGGAATGCTACTGCTGCTCCGACCCCTTGCCCCCCCCCGGGAAATCCTGCCCCTATTCCTCGTGCTGCCGCCCCAGCTGTCAACGCACCTGCCCCCGAGAACCATCCCTCGTTCCGCCCGGGAGGTGATGTACCGATGGATCTCTCCGGGGGACGTCGTCGCCCCACCCCTACCGAAAGAAATGCCCGCTTAGCTGAGGGCCGATGTTTCTATTGCGGAGGGGTCGGCCACATAGTTAGAGATTGCCCCCAAGCAAGGGCAACTGGAAATCAACCAAAAAGACCGGTGATGAGAGGAGCAGCATTGAGGATAGAGGAAAATGATGGAAGTGATAACGAGTCGGCAAAAGATTTGTCCCTGCACTAAGTGGCTTAGCCCAGGGACCATTTAAGGATTTTTCTAGGATGCATATTTCTGGTTTTTCGGTATCAGAGGAGGAAATGGATGGGAACCAATTTGTAGTAACTTGTTCAATCTCACAGAATAAAAATACTTTCGTACCCACCTACGCCCTTATTGATACCGGAGCATCAGGATATGCTTTCATCGATGAATCTTTTGCACGCCACAACAATCTCACCATGACCCCCCTTAAAATACCACGCCACGTAGACGTTATAGACGGCAGACCGATCAAGTCAGGAAAGATTACCCATATTATCGATGTCTCGCTAGACATTCATGGCCATCGAGAAACTGCATCATGTTTTGTGACAAAGTTGGGACACTATCCGATTGTGATGGGGATACCTTGGATGCGACGTCATGACGTTACCATTCGACCAAAGGAAAATTTACTTATTTTCGACTCTCAAAACTGCTGTCAAAATTGCTCGCTTAGTGGAACCACAGTTATAGTTCATGGCATATCAATTCCTCTACCGGAAACCCACGCCGTTACCATTTTGGCGACCGGGGAACCTACAATCGATATCAACCAACTAATACCAAAGGAGTTCCATCACTATATCCATATGTTTGAAGAAAATGATGCTTCTGCACTTCCGCCACATCGACCATTCCATGATATGAAGATAGTATTAGAGGAAGGCAAGCAACCGCCATGGGGACCAATATATGCCCTATCCCAAGTTGAATTGAAGGCACTCTGGGAGTACCTTCAAGAGAACCTACCTAAGGGAATTATCCGACATAGTGAATCGCCAGCAGGAGCACCTATATTATTCGTCAAGAAAGCCGATGGAACTCTTCGTTTATGTGTCGACTATCGGGGCCTCAATGCAATTACGATTAAGAATCGTTATCGTATAGGAGACAAAGTTTTCTTGTCAACCCGCCATATTCTAACAAAGCGACCCTCCAAGAAGTTTGATTGGAAACGGATTGGTCCTTACAGCATCAAACGAATCGTCAACCCCTATGCTTATGAGCTAGAACTTCCCCGCTCCATGAAGACCCATCCAGTATTCCACGTTTCATTGTTATCACCTGAAGCGGGTAATCCATTACCTGGACAACAACAGTCACCACCACCTCCAGTTGAGATCGAAGGGGAAGAAGAATGGGAAGTCGAGGATATTGTGGACTCTAGGAAACGAAGGGGTGCCTTCGAGTATCTGGTACGATATACTGGATACGAAGATGCCTCTTGGCAACCGCTATCGGACCTTGAGCATTCACCTGATATTGTTCGACGGTTCCATGAACGCTATCCACGGAAACCTAAGCCTACCAGGAGGTAGGCCTTAGAAGGGGGCGTAGTCTGTAACGGCAATATTATATTTCGGCTAAGGTGATAGTTTGGGTTGTGAAGAGAAGGAATAGCGCAGTTGAACTATGATTTGTAATAGGTTTTCCGTTATGTTCTTTTGGATTCCGTTACGCGAGGTATGAGTCATCGACGGACTAGAGGCTGGGTATATAAAGGGGTGTTGTCTCGTGCCTTCTCATGCTTTCCTTCCTTTCCTTTTCTCTTCACGGAACTTCTTGTATCTACTCCACGAATACTACTCTTGTCCCACGCCTCGTCATAGGGTTCCCCCGGTTGGTCATACCAGGTAGAGCCGTCCCGAAGTCCATAGTCCTGAATACCTATTGCTACGTCCTTGCCTCGGTTGTATTCCTTGGCACCATAGTCCTCACGCCTATAGACCCCCGCTACAACAGCACATTTGCACTCCTAGAGTTAGGGACCACAGACCTCTGAGTCAATTGGCTCGAAGGAATGTCGCCAGTGTTCTCAAAGACGTCGTGAGTATCCTCCGGAATACTAACCTCGCTTCCCGGAATCAAAATACCCTCGCTTTCCGGCATCGGAGTACTCTCGTCCTCCTCCCTAGATGAGGGAAGGTACTCGATTTCGTAGACTCTTCGCGATCTACCTTGACCGTGAAGTTGGCTTGAAGGAATCTGACGACTGCTCACAGAGTTCTCGCCAATTGCCTCGCTAGGCGGTGAAGAACGATATGTCCGGTAAGTGGGGACGACTCCCCGTATCGAGAGCGCATCGAGGAAAAATCGATATGGCGCGTAGAAGAGGTATACTCATGAGCTTAAACAGGTGCAGAGGGCCTAGACTGTGAGGGTGTTGGGGGTGCTCTCTGGGATGCCGGGAGTGCTCTCTGGGATGCATTCTGGCTGCGTGCTGAAGTGGGTGCTGCTCTCCCTTGACCTTGTTTACGTATTACTTTCGCGCCCGGTCGAGTTCCCCTCTGAATCGTTAGCCACTAATACTTACATGTTAAAAAGCATCAATGAGCGAGATTGAGTCGAACCTGTACCACGTCCACCGACACGTTGGAAGAAGCAATGACCTCCGCTACCGCGCCAGTTGGTTTCCTCCGAGCATTGCCCAGTGCTCTGGCAGTAGTCGGCTGAACTGTATGAGGTCTCTTTCCGACAGTCTGAGACTTCTGGGTGTAAGATGGGGGGGGGCTTGAGGTTCATCCTCTGGTTCATCCTCATCCTCCTCAGAGCTCTCGTGGTCATTCTCCGGAGCATCATCATAGTCTGAGTGGCTAGTATCAACAGTTTCTTCCACCTCTGGCGCCTCAATTGCCTCAGGCTCCTCCTGCGCTTCAAAATTATCAGTATGGTCCTCGGGGAGATGAAATTCTACCCTCCTAGGACTGCTCCTCCCAGTGGGGTTTCGGAGGAACGGAGAAGACCTTTCCGAGTTATTTGAGCGGCGGTAGTCGATTGACTACTCCGAGTGCGGGCTGGCAGTGGAGTCAATGTTCGGTAACATATTTCAGACTCGTCAGTCAGTAAATCGTCATGTTCTTCAGGTCGTTTTGGGAGTCGTGGGCGCTTTGGGGCAAGAGGTGCTGAACCGGAGGAGCGCTTGGTGGGAGCCATTCTGATGACTG